AGAGAGAGATGATCCGAACACTGATATATATAATGAGAGAGTGGATATTGAACATAGAGAATAAATGAAGAATAGAGAGAGATCCAGGTATCATAATTGCTAGTGTTTGGTGTTTGAAAACGCAGGCGGATGTAATTCGGAGATAGAATTCTCTACCAGACCACGTGATCCATTTCAACAATTGATTTGGATCTACCAACCTAGATTATCTTCGTGGCGTTAGCAGAAAAGTTTGGTCCAAGACACACAAAACATTTGAAGTGGCCACTTGAAGAAGCAACGGCCCCGCCGCTTGTTTCCTCGCTCCCTGCTTTGATCGACGGTTCTTGGACAACACACACGTACGCCTGCCTACTAAAAGGTCTGGTTGTCAATAAATTTAATGCTCCCCATTGGGACAAAAAGACGCTTTAAAGTTCACGGGGGTGCGTTGGAAGGCAGTTCCTAATCGAATTGGTGCTTGAAGGGTTGTACACAAGAATCCTGCTGGTCATGAGAAGAAACAAAACCAATGACTCACTCTGGTTAGCTCAGCCGTTGTTGCTTCAAAGAATTGAATCGGCAACCCAACCGAAGCCCTTGGATATCCACCCAGATTGCTTGCGGGGCAGTGATGAACATCACGGCAACCATTCACACATGGCAAGGTATTGGCCCAGTCCCACCAACAGCGAGCCACCGTCAAGGAGCGACCGTCAAGGCACAGACTCCGACGACCCATACACTACGCTCCTTGATCGGCCTCCCCTTCAGTGAACGGGCAGCAGGACCCAAGCTGCTCGCACATGTTGCGACCAACCCAACCAACAGTCTCTTTGAAACATCTTCGTAGCACGAAAACGCACCCAGTTGACCGCAGGTCGCTTGTTCCATGACATCAGTAGCTAGTTCTTGGGGGCAACAATTAGAATAGAAGGAACTTGGCTCGACCAGCGATGTCAAGTGGCTGGAGCTCCAGCCACAGGACAAAATGCATCATTGTCACTTGGACAAGCGCGCTAATCGTACTGGCACATTAGCAACAAGAAAGCAAGATGGCTTGAAGGCGAACCCAGGCAAGGAGCTACTTCAGCAGAGAGAGCGGCAGACAGCTCATACTCCTCTAGCTAGAGGAGGACTCAGACATCACTGCTCTTTCTGTGCTTAGTGCGTCATAAGACATGTCGCTTGGACAAGGCATTCCTATCTTTCCTATTGCTTTCCGACCCTAAGTTACCAAGCAAGATCGCTGCATAGATTTGCATCCGAGATAAGGTGATCAAACTTCGCTCCAAGATCCATGGTAGACTCGACATCAGCCAAGATCCGCACACATCCGTCGGTTGTGATCCAAAACACCTTCACACCTAACGCAAAGCCGCCTGTAGAGGTTTCACCCGCAGGGGGAGAATTCGAGACGTCCGCTATCCACTACTCGTCAGCCAACCAAGCACCTTAATATTGTTTTTGGGTCCACTATGGATAGATTCATACCGGTGCGTAGCAAGCAAAGAGTGACTGGACTAAGTAGATTTTACAGAGACAGTCAAAACAAACTGTCTGTCAAATGGCACAACACAGGGTTGGCTCTTTGGAAACTGTTGGTTGTTTCATTCAAAATTGAACATGTTCCGGACTCGAGGCGACTCCTCCCTGGTAGAAACCTGATGATCAATGACATCCGTTGTGGACGGAGCATACCTTCAGTATGGACTTTTCAGGTAGACAAATCCACTGTAGAAAAGAATGATGATTTGAAAGGTATTCAGAAAGGATTTGAAGGAGTGACTGTATTGCATGACAGTGTTGTTGAGGATGATGTGCAGGATCAAGAGTGCCAAATGGCACTGATGCATTCGTTTCACAAATGCCACTGGCAAGGTGTGATAGTGGACGGCCACAGTACCAAACATGCACCCCATTAAGAATTCCCGTAGCGCAAAATGCCAAAAGTAGGATGGATCATCCGGAAAGGGAAAGTCACTGAAATAGGAATGGGCCAGCTGCGGAGCTGCCACCGCCGCCAACCCAAATGACACCATTCCAAATAGAGGAACATAAAAGATGGCTTGTCGAGTGAGAAAAGCGGGGGTGGTGGGGGTGACGGGGTTGGGACTCTTGGGTTGCACCATGGTCGTTTGTTTTGTTGTTGGTTGGTTGGTTGGTTGTTTCATACGGTACATGTAGAGACCCTCTGCATGGTGTTGAGCCGGTGTCTGCCAGGTTTTCTCGGAAGCTGAAAGAAAACAAAAAATGAGAGAAAAAGATTTGGGGTTCTCATTTTCACGAAGACTTGGGTGTTTTACAGCTCTGCGGGCGGTGTGTTACTAGACAACCCGGACACGCTGCTCCTTCTTCCTTCGTGATGACAATGATCAGGTTAGGAGAAGGCGACAGTACAGTACAAAAGGCGATTGAACAAGTCGGGCAAGGCTACCAGCTGGATAGCTACAGAGTCGAGTCATGGCTGAAATAGAGCCGAAGCAGAGGAACTCCAACGCGGCCAAAGGATGCAGTGGAAGCCAGAAGAAGGCAAAGAGCACCTCGAAACCTATTCGAGTAGTTGTCAAGCGCCGCAAACGATCCAACAAGAAAGCATTGGCAACGGCCAGACAGCGGCTAGTAGTAGCCCAAAAACCAGGCATTCCCAATTTGACCAAAGAACTAACGGAGCCGCCACCCGAAGACGACAATGACGAGAATGACGACGATGAATTATTTCTGCCACTCGACGACGCCATTCCCTGCGACACTCTTTTGGCCTTTCAATCTCTGACATGCTCGCCTCATTTATGCTTGTCCATCCCCTTGCAAGCGTCAATGAACCACATTCCCTGCATTTTGGAATCCCAACTGGTCCCAGCCCTCCAGCAAAGCGCCCAAGATCACAATAGTTTTGCCATGGTCACACAGGAATTGGCCGATCTCTTTCACCGCAATGTGCTGCGACGATTGACATTTGCCGGAAACAACAGCAACAGTAGTGATGCTCTCACAGTCTTGTTGTCGACCGAAGAGTACATTCGAGGAGTCTGGGATGCCCATGATACACAGGATAATGCATCAGAGGAACAACGCGCCACGGTCGTTTGGTTTGTCGAGCACTTGCATCGCTGGACGGGACGCATCCTTTCCGAAAGCAAATTGCGGGCTACGTGGACACGAAATCCACCACTCACCAATCTACCCTACTTTGCCTTGTCATCGAGCTGTACCCAGGGACTGGAGTATTTGCAACAGATCCAAGTCTTAATGCCCAATCACAGCCAGGCCGAAACGACCTATCAACTGTGGCTTCCCGAATGGGGACAAGTATTGGCCGCCTTCTCCACGGCTCACAAACGGTTCCTACAAAAGATTCAACAAACCTATCAAAAAGAAATATCCGAAAAATCGTTCCTCCAGCATCCATTCTACAAGGGGATTTCCAGTAAGCTCTTGTTGCAATGGTTGCAAGATCAAGGGATTGTGACGTTGGTGCCAAAACCCGTTGGTAAGTTTATTTCGCTAGTGGACAAAAAGAAGAAAAAGAAAAGGACCAGCCGATAATGAGATTCTTGCTAGCATTAGACTTTTAACTGGGAAACATCAGCATACATGTATTTGACTGGTTAGGTCTGTACTTTTTGAGTTCCTTTCAATGACGAAACTCTACTTGACACTATTAATAGCTAGAAACTGGAAAGGCTTTTGGCCAGGGGTCTCGTTCCAACGTGGAGTATTCATCAACATGTGGCGAAGAACCTCATTCGCCGTCACCGTCACATATGCTCGGCGGGAGCCGAATTCTTTGCTAACTGCTGTTGGTCTATCAACAGAGGTGACGCGTTGTGGGACACTCGGCCTCTATCGCGGCATGCCCTTCTCAGAGAGAACTTGAAATTTGTTGCTTCAGTACGTATCTGTCGCAGCATCAAACTCGACGCTTTCCTCTGGCTTTGTCACCTTTGAACGATTGCAGCCTTTTCGTCAAGCTGGCTATCCGTTCGTTGGCACTGGGGTGTTCATTGCTGCATTGCCTCCAACACCAAATTGCTGCTTGAATCGAAAAGCGGTCTGGCTTGGCACGAGACAAGGTGCCCTGCTGGTGAAAATTTTCCATTCGCTTCAAAAGTGCGTCGGCTTTGGGTCCAGCATCGCTATCTCTTGAGTTACAATACGCCATCAACAGCATGTTGAAGCATTGGGTATCTGGTTCGATCGCTCGTGTTGTCGGAAGCTCGCTTTTGACTTGACCTTTTGTACACTCGTCCGTCATTTCATTCAGAAGGGTTTCTACGCGGGAAAAGTTTCCTTGTCGCGAGTGGGCATGCATGACACTGCCGTAGCATTGAATGTTGGGGCGCAAGCCGACTTGAAGCATCTCGCCCAGTGTGTCTTCTGCTTTCTTACCACTCTCAGGGCTGTTCGACCGACTGTGCGCCTTGATCACAGCGGCGTAGCTGATCGCGTTGGGTTGCATCATTCCGATTGGACCGGATTTGGACTGTTGGGAGAATTCCTTCAAAAGGCGCGCAGCATTGTCTCCAGCATCCTCCAACCCTGATTCTGCCCATGCATCCAGAATAAAGTTCAAAGAGCGAATATCGGGTGCTATGTTGATGTCACCCCGAAGGAAGTTGTCGCATTGAGACTTCAGACGATCCTCGGCCCTCTTCATGTTGCCAGATTTGGACCAAGCATAGATCACGTAGCAATAAGTCCCACCGTCCGGCTTGAGCTGCTCTGTATGATTGTCAGTTTTGTGTGCTTCCAGCATCTCTCCAACTAGTCTGTCGGCCTCCAAACCTGCCCGGGGACTTTTGGAGTTTCCCCAGGCGAAGAGTACGCTATTGTAGGTCACAACATCCGGCAAGATATCTTTGAACCCTTCGCGATGAAACTCATACATGCAGGCTAGCAGTCTTTCGGCTTTGGCTCCAGAATTGTCCATTTTTGATCTCGCCCAAGCATCGATTACTGCATTGTATGTCAACCAATTGGGCATCAAGAGAGAATTCCCCTTGTCCGCAGCACGATGCATCTTCAGCAACATCTCCTCCGCCATTTGTGCCTTTCCATTCTTGGCTAGTGCGTTGATCACGCTTGTGTAGGTCCTAGCTGTTGGCCGCAGTGAGAAGCTGTCTGGTTCTTGGGATGATTGTCGTTCCATTTCCTGAAGCAACTCAAGAGCACGTTCGCTGGACTTTGGATGATTTGACTTGGCCCACGCGTGAATGGTGCAGTTGAAAGAAAACGCATTTGGCTGAACTTGCTTGTATACTCCAGAGCGACAGCACTGGGTCATCTTGTTCATAACCGCCTCGGCCTCTCTGGCAGCCCCCTTTTGTGCCCACGCATTTAAAACTGCATTGAACGTTGCGGTGTTTGGCTCCAGTTCATGCTGACCCATTTCATAAGCATCGCAGATATCTTGCAGGTGCTCTTGTGCTTCTCTGGCTTTTCCTGCCTTTGCAAGCGCCTGGATGAGAGCATGCTTCATGGCACTAGTATCCATCTCAGTGACATCAATGCAAGCATCAGCGTTATCGCTTCCAGTGCAGGTGTCTTCTCCACCAAGGTCAGCCAAAATAGCTTGGATCCTTTCTGCAGCGTTTGGGTGCCCTGACTTTTCCCAGCACCGAACAGCCTTCCCAGACAACCTTCTCTTGGCACGCGGTTCGGTTGCCTCGGCTGACAGCCTTCCCGCGTCCCCGAGCTGTCTCATGAGCTCCAGGATGCCTTCGGCCAGATTTCCCAAATTCCGATTGTCGCCCTCCAATTGGATGCAGGCATCCAACAAGGCATCGAAACTCTCGGGAGAAAGTTCAATTTTGGGCTCCCCAGCCATGTTGTCGTTTTGGTCTCGCAACGAGACGACGAGGTCCAGTGCTCCTTGCATATCACCAGCCTTGGTTTGCAGTTGAATCAAAGCCTTGTAAGTATTGGAATCCGGCAATGGTCCGTCATCATCCGCTTTGCCCGTCATGCGATCCAACAAATGTTTGCCCCAATCAAGTGCTCGCGGCAAATCTTTCTCATCACTGATCCTCAGTGCCGCAATCAAAAAGTTGAAGATCCGTGTATCGGCTCGCCAGCCATTATTGGGACGATCGTGGTAGAGAAGCACCTTGTCGACAATGCTCCGAGGTGTCAAATATGTGGATTTTCGAATCCAGTACTTTTTCCATTCCATCAAGAGCTCAAAAAAGACTTCCTTTGGCAAATATGCCATGGAAGGACCACTGTCGGATAAGACACAACGATCCAAGTATCGAAAGCATTTGTCGACTCCTTTGGGTACTTCCATCCACTGCTGGATCGTCTGCGCAACATTATTGTTGTCATGGACTCTTCTTCCTACTTGTTCACCACCATTGCTCGGGATGGAACTAGTAGCCAAATATTTTTCCAAACCTGATAACATTTCCGTCTGATTTTGGAATGCTGTAGTGATTGCTTGCAGCGTATCGCCATGGACATTCACGTCTGTCTCCCCTTCTATTGTCAACGCAGGAAACAAGTCCAATACTTTTTGGAGGTTCCCCGCTCTGGCCCAGGATTTGATGAGCAGATTGTGTGTTCGCGTGTCGGGAAGTGCCTGTTGTTGAATCTTCATTTGATCTACCACAGACTGAACAAATAGCGCAATATGATGATCCTCCGCCTCGCTGCCCTTCCATTCACTCGCCACTGACAAAATGTTGTTGTAGATTGTAGTGTCTGGTGCACTAACCAAAACATAATCAGAGGAGAGGGATTTTTGGTAGTCATCCAGCTTGTCCAGAAGATCCCAAGGCTTCAGCAAGATCTCTATTTCTTCCTCGGACAACCTGTCCTTTTTCCAACAGGCTTTCCATTTGGCAATGATTTGATGCAAGAGCTCCGTATCCAGAGCACGTTGGCGAGAATGTTCACTCATCTCCTCCTGCCTTTGCTGGACAAGTTGATCGAGCAACGTAAAGATTCTTGTCACATCGTCCACAAAAGCCCAATTGTCTTGACGGCTGGCGAGCTCTTGGATTGTTTGGAGCGTATTCGAGGGTGTTTCCCCATCCACAGCTCCCATCGCTTCTAGATCTTCCGTCATCACATTACTTGGTTCTTCGGGAGAAATTGGCACTGGGGGCGACTGCGGATGTTCCTCAAGATTGAGTTCTTGTCGAAGATCCGAGACTGCATTGCGGAGGGATTCCTTGTACCATGGATCCTTCTTGATGCCGTGAAAGGAACCCATCCATCGGCGCTCTCCTCCATCGAGGTCGCAAGGGACGGTTGCAGCTGCTGACCGAAGAAACAAGCCATGAGCCCTCGCTCTCATCAGTGCCGCGGAACGGGAAGCTCGAATCATGATGCTTCAGCAACAATAGTATCGTCTCCTGGCCACTCTATCATGTCGATCTCGATCCATACACCAGGGGCAACAACAAGCGATCAGAGAGTACCGGTATCTTCGAGGACTGATCATGCAGCCATGGCCCATTTGGTTTGTTGCATACCGTAGCATGGTGGTTTGATTGATGACGGAAGCATGACGTGAGTGGGGAGGCCTGAACGCAGCTTTCACAGCTCTTCTGTTTTACTTCAACCGTGACTGGGAACTGGCACGATGACCGGTACATGCCAGTGTCCTTCTACCGGTACAGCTGCAGCTCCAAGCGATCCAACCAAGATCTCAACGCATCAATGCATACACGGAGGTTATCTAGCTAGAGAGCGGACCACAAACAGCAAGTCCCAAAGCCCACAATAAAAGCGATCGAACATGGTAAAGGGGAGCAAAATCGTGAGGCAACGGGAAGTGGCGCCAAGCCCCTTCTTGCAAAACTCGGAACGAGTCTTTTGGCTATTTGTGGGTGTCACGGTCGCGACCATGGGAACATTTGAACGAGTCATCTCCAAGGCAGCGACGTCGGTCTCGCAACAACAATCTCAACTCTCAATGAGTTCCTTTACGGCCGCTCGCAGTGCCACTGTTCCTTCCGTGGCAACCACCACCACCAAGTCATCAGGCTCCACATTCCCAGAACCAACCGGCGACGAATTCTGTCTCCCATGGTCACAGAGTGCCGATGAATGGTGGACACACAAACCAGAGTGGGAAATGGGAATGGAGAATGAGACCCACTACTGCTTCCAAAAAATTCAAAATGTCGAAAAGCGAGAACTACTTGTCAAGCTCTACAATATCAATTTTCATGGCGATTGTAGCCAAATGTTGACCAAACGAGTGTGGAGTTCTGGTTGGAATGCCGATTTCATGAATGTCATTGATGGCTTCAAGCATGCTGTTTTGAACAACAAACCTGTACAAATGATGAATACACCTTGGCACTATGCTGATCCTTACGGTGCCAAACCGGACCATGAAAATTTCAAGGGCATGCCACCGGCCTGTGGTAAAAGCAACATGTTCTGTTACTTTCTTCCTATATCCAGCTGTCCTGCTCAAGAAGTGGGCGATCCAAAACCCCTGCGGGAGGGTGCCTTTTATGATAGGAAGGACTACCAGTGGTACTATGAATATGCCACGCGCCGACAGACTTGGCTCCGCAGAAAGGTCTATGAGTTTCGTACAAAACAAAACATCCAGCAACCATGCACCGCAATTCATGTCCGCCGGTCGGATGTTGTCCTACACCTGCACAACAAGAGACAATATTTTCCCATGAAGGATTACTTAAAACCAGAATTCAATGTGCAACACAACATATTTCTCATGACAGATGACTCAAATGCAATTGTGGAAGCAAAGCATGAATTTCCTCAGTACAACTGGATGTATGTGGATCGACCTCGTTTCCGGGCTTCCGAAGGAGGTTTTGAGAATCAATTTCCATCTAGAAATCCGGTTCATGAAGTGGTTGTCCTATTGTCCATCTTCCAACTGTCTCGGCAGTGCAACCAGCTAATTCATTCCCACAGCTCATTTGCCTCGAGGCTGATTCAAGAGATGGAGGCATCTGGCGCCAGAATTAGCAAGTTCAAAATTGGTGACCCCAAAAAGGTACATCACGATGACAATGCCCATACAATCAACATTTCCAAAGCTTATGAAAACATTGCACTTACAACAACAAAGACGAGGAAGAGATGATGATCTTCGGTGCCATTTTCCAATAATTTGGCAGGGACACGCATCTGATCGAACGCATCGAATCAACCTACTTGACGTAGAAAGGTTTGCCTTTCAAGTCCTTGACGAGGCGAAGGCACCGTTGGGTTTTTTTTCGGAGTTTTGTGCAGTTTCTGTTTTTCTACCGCCTGGACTGGACGGACGGCACAGGACGTTGGCGCTGGAGTTGCGAGATGGGCAGGGATCTTGTGCCTCTCGGCTGGTTTACGGGCTTGTTCGGGATAGTGGATCAGCTAGCGACCCGACATCGACGTTCTCTCTCTTTCTTTTACCTAATGTCGTATGCTAATAGCTAATATCAACAGAATTATCGTGCTCTACACTAAGAACGCACCTGCCAACGGGAACGTCGCCATCCTGAACCAGGCCCACACGCTTGCTTTTTTACAGGCGGGACTACAATAGATTTTCCCCACAAAGCGGATCATGCAAGCCGCCCCAGCTCGCCGACACGAGAGTGAAGCAAAACATAGATGATACTCAGGTTCTTGTCGCTGCAAGCACCTCCAAGAGCTTTCTCTCCGCATTGGCCAACAGCAGACGCACCGCGAAGCAGGAAAAGCTCAACCAGTTCCAAATGCCCACCCAAAGCCGCCATCGTTAATGCATTCTCTCCTCTCGCGTTTACCTGATGAGTTTCAATATCAGGGGCTCGCTTTAAGAAGAGCCCTGCCAAACGGTAAAATCGTCTCCCAAGCGCAATCAGTAGTGGTGTGTCGCCACTGCTGTTTTGAACATTGACACTCACTCCGTGACCCAGGAGCAGCTCCACCAACTTATCCACACGATGGACATTACGTACACAAGTATAATAACTCGGATCACAAACCAAATGCAGCGCTGTGTTCCCGCCTTCGTCTCTGGCATCTGGTCTGGCGCCAGCATCAAGCAACACCTTCGCAACTCCTTCGTTGCCACTGGAAACGGCACAAAGAAGCGCAGTGCGACCGTCGCTGCCTCCTTGTGTGTTCAACTCTGCCATGGCTCCATTGCCCAGCAAGAAGGTTATCAAATCGGCTCCCCTCTCCGTGTAGTGGCTGCAAACTCGATGAAGAGGAGTCATACCTTGGTTGTTCCTTGCGTTCACATTGGCCCCAGCAGCAACAAGCAGTCCCAGCACATCCAACTTTTCGGGGTGTCTAATACACGCAACGGAAAAAGGCGTTGCCCCTTCTTGATCTCTTGCATTGGGCTCTGCTCCACATTCCAAGAGCTGTCGCGCGGCTGAAATCAGTGTTTCACTCCTGCAGAGACGCGAACCACAAACACATGCTAGAGGAGTTTGTCCTCGGCGATTGACTGCATTCACATCTGCTCCCTTTTCAAGCAGTGCAGTGATGAGTTCCGGGATTCTGTTTTCGAGGTTGGCACGAGGGGCGCCAAGGGCGCATATAGCTGAGTCCCTTCGTCGCCTTTGTTTCGGTAGTTGATGTCGGCCACATTGCCCCTGATTTTCTGTTCGGCCACCTCAAAGGCTTCTGTGACGTTACTATTTCGTCCCTCGTCCCGGTAGCGGGCAAAGTTCAGCTTTGCTGCCAAGGCACCGATTGGTCCCATGGCATCTTCCAAATATCCCGCAGTTTCCGAGTGTCCATTCAGGGTCGCCAGACACATAGCAGTACTTCTATGAGGGAACTGCTCCGAGGGGAAGTTTTCCGTGGAGCACATCACATTGGCACCAGCTTCCTGAACAAGATATCGAACTACCGGTATATCAGTGTGCCCACCATAACTGGCATGCAACAGTGCCAGATCCAGTTTTTCTTGGTCACATTTCTTCTCTTTCAGGAACCTCCGAAGACGCCCCAAGTCGTTCCTTTTAGCTATTCGGATGAGTTTCGTTACCCTGGACCGTTCGACGGTTTTCACTCAGGCTTTAAAAACGGACACGACTGACTCAGAAGTGTAAGGGATTGTTTAAGGGATTGTTTGTTAAGGGATTGTTTAAGGGATTGTTGCAGATTTAAGGGCTTGTTGGTTAAGGGATTGTTTGATAAGGGATTGTTTTAGGGATAGTTGAAGCAATAAGGGATAGTTGTATGGTGTTTCCATTTGGCGTTAAGGGATTGTTTAAGGGATAGTCCAATATTTAAGGGATTGATGTTAAGGGATTGTTTTTTTAAGGGATTGTTTAAGGGATTGTTGATGAGTTAAGGGATTGTTTAAGGGATTGCTTAAAAACGGTTATCAGTCGTGGCAATTTCAAGTTTTTTAAATCCTGATTGAAAACCGTCGGACGGTCCTGGTTGGTGTGGTAAGGTTTCCTTTGCGCCCAAAGCACAAAAGATGTAAGCCAGAAGGGTTTCAATCTCACGGACAAATTATGCACGTTTCGGATTGAGCTTGGCGATACCGGTACGGGTTACCATAGGGTTAACCTGTGGGGCGGTCCGTGCCACAAAGCAAAGGACGTACAGTTCACAGATCACAGATCATAAAGATCCAACATAAAAGAGCGATGAGCATCTCCACCGACGACAACGACAAGATCCTCTTTGTCCAAACTGGTGGGACAATCGACAAGGATTATCCCCGCAGCACTGGTGGCTATGCGTTTGAGTTTGGAGAACCCGCCACCATTCGGCTGTTGGATCGGCTGCAGCCATCGTTTGCGTATACCGTTGCGACCGCATTTCAAAAGGACAGTTTGGAAGTGACGGATCAAGACCGAGAAGAATTGGCCACCTTGATTGGAAAGGCTTCGGAAAGTCGGGTGATTGTCACACATGGTACCGACACCATGATTGATACAGCCAAATATCTACTGCTGGCCAAAAACGAGCCGTTACTAAAACACAAGACGATTGTACTCACGGGGGCCATGCGACCCGAGCGGTTTAGCAATTCCGACGCCCCACTGAACCTTGGAGCGGCCATTGCAGCCGTGCAACTGGCACCCGCGGGGAGTGTCCTTGTCACCATGCACGGTGTGGTTCGACCGGCTCAGGAAGCCACCAGGGATATGGAAACTGGGCAATTCAAGTAGATACCTTTTTTGATAACAGAGATACTTGCCTAATAGACCAATACCCGACAACCAACAGCATCTACACTACAATCTACTAGTTCATAATTGATATCTCAACACGACGTTCTATCTTGCTTGGATTTAGGCAGATCCCAATAGAAAAGAACAACCAAGAGTTTCTAGAAGTCGTAGCCATTTCTTCCAGGATGTAGTATGTCATCCATCCGAAACAGCCACTGTAACACCACCATCCAATTCCTATATACCGTACCAAAATCCATGCAGTCAGGTAGCTAACCTAGCTAGCGGTAAATACAACTACTATAATTCTCGATTTTGGATTCTCTATGGTTGCGATTGTTCGCCAACGCTCCATTTGCTTTGCTTGTACCGTACTAGCTTAGTAGCCTCTCACCATGTCTGTCATTTTATTTTCCAAGGAATCCAAACGGGTTGAATCCTTTGGAGTCATACGCATCCATCAACTTTCTGTAGTCGGGTTGGTCCTTGATGGGATCCAGATCGGGATCTCCTCGTACGGTGGAGAAGTTGTTGAATCCGTTCTCAAAGGCCATTTGTAGGTTGGCAATGGACTAGTAAGTTTGTCCATTTGTTGTTTTTCAAGAAATCCATATCATGTTTGTTGGTTTGGTTTGGTTTGAATCATGAAATTGAAGGCGAAGAGATGATGATTGTTGTGGATGTTGTAGTATAGTATAGCATAGCATAGATAGACAGATAGATGTGATAACAGCAAAGACATCGTGAGCATATCATCCTATTGAACCCAAATCAACTCTGAACCACACCCCAAACGCACCTCATCTAGATTTCCAAGTTGTGCGTGTACACAGGCAATGTTATAATGTGCTGCTTGCAATTCGAATTCATCCAGGGGATAGACGTTTTGGCTTTCAAAGCCACCCATGGAACCGCCCACTGGACTGGGACCTGACACGGACTTTGTTCGCACAACATCCTTGTTGGATCCTGGAAGCTTCATTCCTTTTTGGAAGACTATAAGCAAAGAGAAACACGGTAAGAATCCATATAAGGAGGCTTCTGTACTCAGATACCTTTGCAGTGTATGTGTACCGTCACGATAATGTAACCTACTGTACGTACGTACCTTTGAGTGCTTCTTCGTAGTTTCCTTCTTGCATGAGTCGTAGTCCCAGGACTTCGGCTTCTCGAAACGTTGTCAGGGAAGGTTCTGGAATGGCCGCACCTCCAGATGCAGCCACATCCGCCGTCATGTAGGGCTGCTGTCGTTGTTTTGGTTGCAGATTGGCAAATGCCATGGGTCGATTCGGGGCGACAAAGCCAGTCGCCATAGTCAGTGTCGCCACAGCTACCAACAAGCTGAATAGGTTGGATCGTCTTTGGTAGGTACTCATCTTATTATAATTCTTTTCTTTTATTAGAATGTATATATGTGATAAGGGAGCAGATTGTTTCAGTGTGGATGGATCTGGTATAGTACTGGCTAGGAGGAGGATAATCAATTGGAATGAAAGTGAGATGAAAACAACAGCTGGTGTCTTTCTCTTTTTGATGTGCAAATCGGAGTTGATCTTTTGTCTTTTAGTTTGACAATTGATGCTATCGAAATACTTATTTTGTACCTCACTTTGTTGGCTCTTGTAAAGCGAGCCACAAATGGCGCCCGAACTGTACCATCGCAAAGAAGCAGGAGGCAGATGTCAACTCCAACAAATCTCTCGCTTCGTTAGCAGTTCCAACGCCCAGCCATCATGTCGAAAGAGCTTCTGTGGTGGAGGCCCACGTCAGTGACAGCCAACCAAATGTTGACGAGCTTTTGGTTCTATTAAATAAATCTACTACCATACTTTGTAATGAGGATGACGGTATACCCCGGAATTTATTGGATTCCATAGCTCATCCAATTTGTACAACTTCAAGGATCGCCAATTTTGCATTTGCTTCCAACACGTACATGTACAGTACCCTGCTCAATTCGAATGAATTATTCGAATTTCATTCGTCCAATTCGATCGAGATCCTTGCAGGAAGACCTCAGCCCACGAAACAAACAGAACATCCTGGTGCATTACATCCTCATTAGTCTAGCTAGCTACTAGAGAGCTAAAGCTTTCTTCTTCCATTGCAAAGAGGCAGTGCTGTGCTTGCATTATCTATATCTCCTTCTCCTGCTGATCGAAAAGTCGACAATTTACCTCATCGAAAAAGACACAAAAACACTACCATGCCCATTCAAACTAGCGTCACAAAACTGTTGGGTATCGAACACCCCATTGTCATGGGCGGCATGACGGGGGTCGGTACCGTCGAATTGGCCGCCGCCGTATCCAATGCCGGTGGTCTCGGCATTTTTGCCGCTCACAATGCCGGGAGTCCCGAAGGCTGTCGGCAATGGATTCGTCGCATTCGGGCTTTGACAAACAAACCCTTTGGTGTCAACTTGACTATTTTACCCACACTGGGGCCTCCACCGCCCTACCAAGAATACGCCCAAGTCTGTGTCGATGAAAACGTTCCTATTATCGAGACGGCTGGAAGCAATCCCAAACCGTTTATTCGATTCTTCCAAGCGGCCGGCATTATCACCATTCACAAGTGCGTCACCATTCGACATGCCCTTTCGGCGGAACGCATGGGAGTCGATATCATTAGTTTGGATGGATTCGAATGTGCCGGACATCCGGGAGAAGGAGATGTGGGCAATTACGTATTGCAAGCCAAGGGGGCGCTCGTCTTGAAGAAAACACCCTTCATCTGCAGTGGTGGTGTCGGCGATGGCAAACAAATTGCCGCTGCATTGGCACTGGGCGCAGAAGGTGTCAATTGTGGTACTCGATTTTGTGCCACGCAAGAATGTCTCTGGCCACAATCGTTCAAAGAGCGCATGCTAGACGCCACGGAAGAAGATACCGTACTCATGTTTCGACACCTCAAAAATACTACGCGGGTATTTGCCAACAAGGTGGCCAAAGAGGTGGAAAGTATTGAATTGCAAAAAGGAGCCAACGTGAAATTTCAAGATTTGGCACATCTGGTCGCGGGCAAACGAGGACGAGCCGCCGAACAGGCCGGGGATGCCGATGGAGGTATCTGGACGGCCGGACAAGTCATTGGACTCATTGACGATATCCCGACGGTCGCACAATTGATGCAACGAATGATGGCGGAATGTGAAGACACTATTCGGGGACGACTGAATAGTATGTTGGCAGTGCCATCAAGATTGTAGTAGAGAAATGATTTTATTTTGAAGTAGTTAGCAATGTGTGGAGGTTGTTTAAAAAGGGTACTAGCAAGATGGTGTTTTCTATTCGATGTCAAGCATATCGTGAACGCATTCACCGACTAGACTTTTTCGTTGTTGGCATTCAATCCTCATCATCACCACTGACGCCGCTCTGATTTTCACGAATGTCTCCATCCTCAACGTCCCACCCACTGGTACTATCTTCATCCACTTCTGGGCACCCATTCTGTC